CTCCCCCTCCCTCCCAGGTTTGAGAGCCTGGGAGGGAGGGGGAGACTCCGAGTGGCCGCGGCGCGGGCGCCGCTCCTCCCCCTCCCTCCCAGGCTCTCAAGTCTGAGAGGGAGGGGGAGCAGCGGCGCGCGAAACGGCCGCTCGGGATCTCCCCCTCCCTCCCAGGCAGCAGCAGCGGAGGTGAGCCAGGGCGGCCGCGGCACATTTTTAGGGGCGGCATTCTGGCGCCGGCCATGCCGCCCCTAAAAATGTGCCGCCCCAAGCACCAGCTTGTTTGGCTGGTGCCTAGAGCCGGCCCTGCTGTTGTCTCCTGAAAGGTTTTTTCATTTGAACATTTCAACGTCACTTCAACTCGTGCCCTTTCCGAGCAGCTGTCTCTGCACAACCTGTTGCCTTAGATTAGGTGTAGGCTACATAAAAAGCACTAGTGAAGTCAGTACAAACTAAAATTTCATACAATGACTTGTATATACTGCTCTATATACTATACACTGAAATGTAAGTACAATATTTATATTCCAATTGATTTATTTTATAATTATAAGGTAAAAATGAGAACGTCAGCAAATTTTTCAGTAACAGTGCGCTGTGACACTTCTGTATTTTTATTTCTGATTTTGTAAGCAAATAGTTTTTAAGTGAGGGGAAACTTGGGAGTAGGCAAGACAAATCAGGCACCTGAAATATGTACAGTGATCTGGAAAGGTTAATATCCACTGGTCTAAATTAGCTGTTACTCAAAGAGACTTTGCAGTCATTGTGGATAGTTCTCTGAAAACATCCACTCAATGTGCATCGGCAGTCAAAAAAACTAACAATGTTAGGAACCACTAAGAAAGGGATAGATAATAAAACAGTAAATATCAAAGAGACACTATATAAATCCATTGCACATCCACACCTTGAATACTGCATACAGATGTGGTCACCCATTTCAAAAAAGATATACTGGAACTGGAAAAAGTACAGAGAAGGGCAACAAAAATGATTAGGGGTATGGAACAGCTTTGGTATGCGGAGAGATTAAAAAGACTGGCACTTTTCACCTTGGAAAAGAAACGACTAAGGGGATATAGAACAGAGGTCTAAAAAATCATGAATGATGTGGAGAAAGTGAATAAAGGAAGTAAGTGTTATTTACTTCTTCACATAATGCAAGAACTAGGGATGACCTGGTTAAATAATAGGCAACCAGTTTAAAACAAACAAAAGGAAGTACTTCTTCACAGAATGAACAGTTAACCTGTGGAAATCGTTGCCAAAACTATAACTGGGCTCCAAATACAATTAGATAAGTTCATGGAGGATAGGTCCATCAATGGCTATTAGCCAAGATGATCAAGGATGCAACCCCATGCTCTGAGTGTCCCTAACCTCTGTTTGCCAGAAGCTGGGAATGGGCAACAGGGGATGGATCACTTGATGATTCCCTGTTCTGTTCATTCTGTCTGGGGCACCTGGCATTGGCCACTGCCGGTAGAAAGGATACTGTGCTAGATGGACCTTTGGTCTGACCCAGTATGGTCGTTCTTATGTTGATCCACTCTGTGATCTGTGTCTGGGGTATCGATCACCTAAGCAAGTGTTTCTCAATCTTTTTGATACCAGGGAGCGGCTTGCTGCCTTCCTAAACTGTGTCAAGGAAATCTCAGGGACCAGCAAGGAGGCTGCCATAGACTGGCACCTGTCCATGGACTGGGCATTCAGAAACATTGACCTAACCCATCTAGTCCGTGCATAGGAACCAGCTTGGGTGTTTAAAGTGGATGCTAAGATTTATTTGTAATTTTATTCCTAGTTTGAATCAAAGCTGATTCTGCATTAGACACCCAGGATATTTTAGATTAATTCCCACGATAAGGATTCTCTTACCTGATCCAGTAGCTCCAGGCACTAGAGGACTTTAATTGAGGAAAAAAATAGGCAGATTTATTTATGTTTACCTCTCTTTAGGGTTGAGATGCAACTCTCCTCACTTGGGTCACTCACAGCCCCATCCGCACACACAGCCGACACTCTGAATCTGTAGGTCGTCTCAGGCCTCAGTTCAGCAATGTTACAAGAGCCAGTTCTGTCTCCTGTCCTTCGTTCCAGCCATTTGTCTTTCTGCTCATATATTTCACCTCCAGCCTCCTCTTTATATTCCACCTGATACTCCCTTATACCGACTCCATCTTCAATGACACTTGGACTCTCCCAGGTGAGGGTGATGGAAAATAATTCTACAGTGGCCATTGCCAGGTTCCCAGGAGGGCTGGTAGGGGGAAGAGTCTTCACAGGATCACTCACGTCGCTGCTCTCGCTGAGCCCTGGTTCGCTCACTGCAGCGTATCGGAACTGGTACTCGGTGTTTGAACGTAGCCCTGTTACTGTGAATGTCTCTTGTGTGCTATTTACATCCACAGCTGTCCAGTTCTCCTGCCCTACAATTCTGTACTCTACCAGATAGCCGGATATCGCAGCCCTTCCAGAGTCTGATGGGTTAAATGTGAGCTGCACACAATTGTGTCTGATTCCATCAATCAGAGGAGGGAGTGGTTTTGATGGGGGCTCAAAGTTGGTGCTGACCAGCTCTCCATCTGCATACAGGTAAATGGAAGCTCCTGGATGTTCCTCATCTGGAACAGAGGCCACAATGAACCGGGTCTTTGCTTGAGATTTATTGACCTTGGTAAAGTCAGAGAAGGACTTGGCGAATTTTCGTGCTTTTCTTTTTATCTCTTCATCCTCAAACCACTGTTTGGAGTTTGATGTCTCATAGGGAGAACTGGCTGAGGCTGAATCATGATTTTTCTCCAGAAACTGTCTTTGAAGCCAAAAGTTCAAATCTGATAAATATGGTTCTTTGTTGTGTATTGAAGTGAGTGTGAAAGACACAACAGAGTCATGCTCAGGGCTGAGGACTATTTTTTCTAGTTCACTCTCGGAGGATACAACTTCCACATTCTGTAGCCTAGTAAGGTAGGAATCCACTAAATTCATCTCTCGCTCCTTGGTATCCAGAAATTCATTGAGTCTCTGTGTATTGAATGGTGATTGCTTTTTGCTTATTAAAATGTCCACCAGGGCCCCTTCCTCTGCTCCACCTCCACGGATAGCAGGTAAGATTCTTGCTAGTTGTTTCTGGAATGTCTGTCTGTGTTGCTGACAGAGATCTTTGAATTGCTGGATTTTCTTTTTGATTTCGGGGAAGGTTGTGGCAATTGGATTTTTCATCATGTCATTGCATCGCATGTCCAGTTCAGTCAGTTGCTCCAAGGCTGTTTGAGCATCAAAGATCAGTGTTATGCTGATCTCACGCACCAGCTTAGCAGCTCTGGAATCCAGCAGCTGCAATGGGTACAGCCAGACTCTCACTGGTACGGCCTTCTCCCCATTGTCACCCAGCAGCTTTGGGAGGGTGGAATAAATTTCCATGGCATCTTGGTAAGTAACTGGATTGTTCTCAAGAGCAAAATCACCATAGAACGTGCAACTGAAGTTTTCAGTCTCTGATGCTTTTTTGTACTCCATTTTCACGGGCCCCTCTCCTCCTCCTGAAATTTTTGGTAATTTTTCTATCATAAGTTTCATGTTTCCCTGTATCTCTACTACACTCTCAGTTGAAGAAACTTCCCTGTCAAACACAAAGAAAGCCTGAGCCCCATACAGCACAGCCGTGACCACATGGGTTGCTTTCTTTTGGTCATATACAGCAGGATAAGAGACATTCTGGTGCTCTGAATGGCTTATGGCCAGCTGCTCAAACTTGGTTGTTGCTGAATATTTCAAAGTAACTCGGGCTTGATTTTTGGAGCTCTTGGTATCATTTAAAAATGCTGCTGATCCATTCACTTCTACCAGGCCCCCCAGGAAACTCGCCTTTAGGGATCCTGAGAGACTGAGAGCAGAGGCCTTAGCTTCCATAGTGTCAGATGCAATGATTTGAAATTCAGCCTTGTGCTGCATCGTTGTCCCCACTTGTTTGCTAAGGGTATCGGTGTTCCATAAAGCGATACCTGAGAAATTCCACACAAACACTCAGTTAGTGACAGATTAAATTGAATGAGAAGGATTTCATATCACATTCATTGACTCATATTAAAGTAACATGCTACCAGTGAGACGTGTAGAATGACAGTGCTCTGTTGGAAGGTCTGTCTGTTTGTCTTAGGCTTTTATTTGGCATCTATTTTGTGTCTAAGGGCCAATAACACCTATCAATAACATATTAGGGTTATTATGAGTTTGGGGTGCTGAGTATAACAGTAGTTAGCACATGAAGAATTCAAACACCATCTGAGGCAATTTAAAAGGAGAGATTTTATTTCACATAGTCTATAGTACATGGCATGAAAATATTGTAGTGTTTTATATTTACTGTATCATCCTTTAAAAACCAACAGAGCTCTATGATTTAAATGTCAAACCACTACTTCAGCAAATGAAAAAAGAACTGGAGTTGTGGGGGAAGTATGCAATTTCTTGGCGGGGGACAATAGCCACAATCCAAATTAATATTCTGCCAAGGATATTTTTCTTATTTCAAAATCTTTCTGTGATTATCCCAGATAAAATCCAAGCAGAAATACAGAGGATGTTGTTAGAATTTATATGGAATAAGAAAAGACCAAAAGTGAGACCAAATACATTATACAGACCTATTAACCAGAGTGGACTAGCTGTTTGAAATATTCTGTGGTACTGTCAAATCAGCCAGCTCAAAGCTGTAGTGGACTGGGAGCCCTTTAACCTAGCCAAACACTGGGTCTTTATTGAACAAGAAAATTGTGGCATTGTACACATCATTGGGCTACCACGGATTAATAAATAAATCACACCTGCCAGAAATGTACACGCATCCTTAGCAAAGGCTACTCCATGGGTCTGGAATAGAACTAGAGATAGGATCAGTTCTCACCAATGATACCCAATGCAAATAATCCCAATCTTAACCCAAATCAAGAACCAGAGAGCTTCAAAGTTTGGGAAAGCAATGGAACACACACAGTTGGCCAGTTATTCAATAAATAAATGTTCTAATTTATTTAGAGATTAAAACTAACTTTAACTGGCCCACTGGCCCCTGGTACCAGTACTTTCAAGTCAGGCATTATGTTTCTCAACTTTCTAGAAAACCTGTTTGTTACAGAAAGCCAACTTTAATAGAAGTGACAGCATCTGGTCAGTTAAGAAACAAAAACATTATAACTAATTTACCAATCTTTGCAGACATCTTTCCTGACAAAAAAAAAGTGTCCCTATATGACACACAGGGGAAAGAATAAGGATAGACAAATTACCCCAAAGGAATGGGGTTTGATCTGGAAAAGAGAACGAGAAACCGCAGTCTGTAGCACAACAAAAGAGAAAAAATTAAGATACTGTTTTACTGGTACCTCACACCAGTCAGGTTAAAAAATATAGAGACACTAAATGGGGATAAATGTTGGAGAAATTGTGGTGAAAGATTTTTATGCATGTATGGTGGATATGTCCAGTCATCAGAGTGTTGGGATGTAATCAGTAACCAAATATCACCAATTGTTGGATATTTATTATCAAATGATCCTCTGGTAATCCTCTTGGGACATCCTAGTAGAAATGGTCACACAGAAGGAAATTAATAATTTCTCATCTGCTAGTAGCTGCTCAGTTATTGGTAGCCTCTCGTTGGAAAAAGAAAAATAACCCAACCATTGAGGAATAGCTCTAAAAATATGGGAGGTTGTGGCTATGAAAAAATTAACGCACCATGACATAGCCAGCAAAGTAGACAGAGGACAGGTAGATACTTAGATATTTGGTTATCTTTCATTCAGTACTCAGACAAAGTCCATTTACTTGCCCCCCTTCCCCCTCAAAAAAAAAGCATACGTGTCCAATTTTTTTGAATATTAACATTTGATAGATATCTGATCTGTCAAATGAGTACCTGGAGATTTAACTCAATTTAATAAATCACTAGAAATGATGTAGATTTTATAATGATGCTCATTCTGTAATGTGTAACACCGTGTTAAACAGAAAGATGTGATGACTATATTCCTGTGAAATGTCTCTTTAAACAAAAGATAACTGTTGTAATGATTGTTTTGTTTCATTTCTGATAGTTACATGGCAAGGATTTCTAAACTTGTTAAAACTTCCTAAATAAATAGTGTAAAAAGTAAAATGTTAGCCTACCAAAAGAAACAAAAGTAGACATCCCTCCCCACCCCAAATGAATTTTTACAAAAATGTAAAACAAAACATTTTTTTCCCCTCAAGTAGGGCTTGAAGTTCCTATTTCACAAGATAAAACAACTGATGTGTCCACACCAAGCTATTGCTGCCACTAAACAGAAAGAACTATACCAACATACCTACTCTACATTTTAGCATTGTATTACTAGGATTATAGATCAATTGAAAAGTGAGCTATAGAAAATCACACTGATTCACCTGGTAAAATCCCAATATAGATAAATTTTATTCCATGCACAAAAATTATATTAAAATGAAAAGGACACTTAAGAATGTGCATGCAGATACAATGCTGAAACAATGACATGATTAACTCAGCTTCTATTATATGTATTACATTATATATAAACCTTTAAGCAAAATGATAAGCTATATTGAAATATTAAGCAGAAGTACTAGCTTCTCCATATCATACTTACGACTTTATAAGGGAAGTGGGGTAGAATCTTAATTTTAGCACAACTGTAAATTTGGCTTGGGAACTTAGATTGGCCAGAAAATTGACACATTGACAGCAAAGGAGAATTTTTCTGAGGAAAATCTGTCAAACTACTTTTGATCTAGAGACCATAAAAAAATTACCTTGTTAGAAAACTGGGTAATGAATTGTGTTAGTCAAATATATATAGTAAATCATGTTAGAGAAATGAATACAGTAGACACTTGTTTGTAGAACATATTGGTGCCGTTTTGCTATGTTGCTCCTAAGTGACTTTTGCTGTTATGGGGAGTGTCGCCTGACCAAAGGCAGCCTGCTTTTAAAACAGCTACAGAACATGCAAACAATCTAGAATTGTAACAATATGATGCATGTTTATTATTATTGCTACAGTTTTACATTAGTATACATACTGTACATTTTAAACATCTGCTCTGTTCTGCATTTGAAGCCTACTACCATATTGTATCAAGAATACAGTATTAATTGAGTTAACATTATAAAAGCATCAAGTTTTATTTTTATGTTTTCAGAACAAACTTCAACCATGACAACAAATGCAATCTCTTGCTCTTACTTGTAAACATTTTTGTACTCACAATTAACTATCATACTTTGTACACAGTGTAAGTCACCCTAGCTAAGGGTGTCTGCTAAGCAAATAAACAACAACACTGTAATAACCTAAATTAAAGTATTATTCCACATCAAAGTGTATTCTATTTATATAGTGAGTATCAACTTGTAAGTTAATTAAGAATGGATAAACTCACTCATATCAGGTGAAAGAACTCGGTTAATTCGGCTCTGCTTTTTCTCAGTAGCAATTTTGTTTTGAAGATAGGATTCAATGGCCTAAAGAGACCTGTAGTCCCTATCACCAAATCCCTCTAGCTGTGAAAAGTGCCAAAGTGTGTTCAAAGTCTTCAACAGCTTTGAGTTTCTCAGAGGTGGACCTTCATCAAAATCACTGTCACTCTCTCGAAATATATCATAATCAAGAATGCGTTACCTAGGGAGGTGGTGGAATGACCATCCGTAGAAGTTTTTAAGGCCAGGCTTGACAAAGCCCTGGCTGGGATGATTTAGTTGGGGTTGGTCCTGCTTTGAGCAGGGGTTGGACTAGATGACCTCCTGAGGTCCCTTCCAACCCTGAGATTCTATGATTCTAAGAGGATAATCATCAACACAAGCTCAATTCTCTGGCTTTGCAACAGCTGCAGCATTCAGTAATTCCTCATTGGTTAGCTCTCCAATATGAGCAAATCCTCATACACAGCCACAGCAGCTACTAAGTCCTCTTTTTCCACATTGACTGGAAGTGGAACATCGTTCAGGGGTTGTCAAATTTTTACCAATATCTTCATCTTGCACACACTCCACTGGCACAACCAATTTGCCTTTCCGGAAAGAGTTGGAAATTGTTGCCAGATTTACATCTTGCCATACCTCAGCAACAAGATGAACTCGATCTTGCAAATTTACAGTTTTCAGGACTGTCTGAACATCTGCGTTGGGATCTGCATCAAGAACAATAATCCGGTTTGTGATTTTTGATCGGTAATGTCCTTTCCTCTTAATCACACCTTGACCCATAGGTTGCATCAAAGATGTAGTGTTGGGGATAAGAATTTGAGCTGAATGTTAATGAGAAGCACTCCTTGGTGGGGGGGGGGTGTGAAGCACTTATCCAGTAACAGCCATATCTTATGGCTCTGCAAGCGAACCTGACAACCCCACTTTTTAAGCCAGTTGACAAAAATCTCACCTGTCATGCAGACATTTGCTGAACTGACATATTTGAGGGGAAGTTTACTGAAAGGCTGGAATTTGTCATTCCCTTCCATGGGGAGTGGGTATAAGAGGCAGGGGAAGGCAATGCCTTCCCAAACTGCCAGGGTGGCCCCGCCCACATTCCGCCTCCAGGCTCCCTCCCTCAGCGGCGATCACGGCTCCCAGCAGTCTCCAGGCTTCAGCCACGCTGAGGCTGGGGAGGTTGGGGCTGGGCGCTGCCCACCCTCCCCATGCTCCCGGGTTGGGGAGGCAGGCTGGCCGCACACCACTCACAAAGGGGGAGAAGGGTATGCCCCTATGGGCGGGGTGCTTGGGCAGGACCCCGGGGGGAAAGGGTGGGGCTGGTGGTTTGCCTCCCCCAGCCCTAGGTTCACCCACTGCCCATGCTCCCATCCATGTTGGCACAGACAGGCACACTTACCCTGTCCTTTGAAGCTGTCCCTCCTTCTAGCTTTTCATTTTATTCTACACGTCGTCTGTCACAGAGCCCTTTCAGATAAAGTCTTGTTTCATCAGCATTGTAGATGTTAGCTGGGGAAA